AAAAAAAAAAAAAAAAAAAAAAAAAAAAAAAACATGGTGGTGATGACGATGACGCCGAACAGAACAAGTAACTGATGATTACAATTAACCTGAAAACGATGAATTGTAAAAAAAATTTTACCGTCCTGCACAATTGTCACAAGTAAGATGTAGACCATTAAATTACCCATCTTTCACCCTTTTTTCTACTGCTATTGTTTTACAAAAAAAAAAAAAAAATTAATCTCATCCAGACAGACGGAATGTTGTTATTAAACATTTTTGCCTCCACAATCCTTCCGTGTTGGCGGAAGTTAATCCAAGACATCTGGTGAAATTGCGATGACAACTATTGATGACTGAAAACACGACACTTGTTATTTTCACTTTATTTTCACAATTTTTCATCTAAAAATTTCATTATGAAGTTTTTTCTCTACAAAAACAATCAGTCTGTTTATGCCGCCGTTCATCCCCGTCACCGCTTCTGCTTTAATCTTTAAAGAAAAAGAAAACATTGACAACGATTAATTATTTTCATTGATTGATCAAAGTTCGACAAGCTAAACAACGTATTTGAAGATTAGTCATCCAGAGCAAACCATGAACAGAAAAAAAAAAAAAACTAACAAAGTGCAACAAAAATATGAAATGAATGTAAGGGAAATCGTTGTGATGAAAGAAAAAATATGCAGAAGAACAGCGTATTTTTTTACACTTTTTTCTTGCTTATCTTTTTATACGCCATTTTTTTACGTTTAGATTAATAACACCATTTCAGATGTTGATTTCGGTTACAGTAGAAGATGTAAAAACAACAAAAAAATGATTAAAATTTTGAACAGTTTTTTTGTTATTTTTTTTAAGTTCTGTTCGAACACTTTTAATGAATTCCTTTTCAGCAACAGCAACCTTCAGGTCATCCTTCCGGTTCTTTTCATTCTTTAGGCCCTCAATTTCATTTTCGCTGATTGCTGTTCTTTCTTTTGTCACCAAACTGCTAACTGCGATTATTCCATTAAAAAAGCAAATAAAAACCTTCCACCCTTCCTTAGCGCTTTCTTTCGTCATGTCTTCGTGTTGTGCTTTCCACCTACCCTTCCGAAATACCCTTCCAAAAACAAGTAAATGAGCATTTAAAAACCAAGAAGAAAAAAGAATGCGTAGCTTACATAAAGCTAACAAGTCATTCAACCCGGTTTTACCTTTCCAGTTATTTATTCTGTAACATATTGTAATTGAAAAGAAAGTTTGGTACCCAAAATACGATAAAACACGCCAATAAATAAACATGTAAACTTTTACATTAATTTATCTTGAAAAAAGCAGCAGTAACAGCAAAAAAAAAATAACACTGTTAAACAAAGTACACATTGAAGAAGAGCTCAAGAGTTTTGGCAAACAAAGCAATGCATTATCCTATCTCTCCACCAACTCCTCTCTCTTTCTCTTAGATAAGCGATCAAAGTAGTTTTGTAAAATCCAAAAACTTTATACTTTAAAGCCCACAGAAATTACTAGATAGCCAAGCAGTTCCAGCAGCTAACAGTTCCATCAGTAGCAGCGAAAAAAGCTGTAGTTAGCGGTTGTCAAGATAGATCCGATTACGACGGTGCCTGGCCCCTGAGCCGCTTACCACTGCTGGCCGTAAAACAAATGTGT